TGGTTTTGTTAGATTCATTTTTCTGCCAACCAAATGTATTTGAATATTATTAGCATAATCATCTCTTTTGAAATGAAACTCTTTCTGAAGTAAAGGAATCTTATAGTGAAACTGAATGTACGTAATGTTTGCCTGAGTTTTAGATTCCAGCTTCCTGCACAGCTCATCAGATTTTATCTGATGCAACTGTGATCTTTTCATGTTTTCAATTTTCCCTATATTTAATAGTATGCTAATAATAAAATTTAATATTTTTTAAGAAGAAAAGCAAAACTAAAATCCAAGAACTAAATGAGTTCCTTTTTTTCCTCAGCTGTTTGTCTAGTCCTGCCTCTCAAGTCTTTCTCTGAAGATTTATACTAATAGCTTTCCTCTTCGGCTGCATTACTGTATCACAAAATTAACTGTATCACTTAACTGATGCTAAGTTAACACTGAATGATAATCATCTAGAGGGATGGTAATAATTTTCTCTCCTACAATTGTTACCAAAATGGAAAGAAATTAAGATTTACTGAGTACCCACCAGAAACTGTGCAAGATATTTCCTTATTTACTAGATCATATTTACTGGTTACTAGCTAGCTCCATGAGCTAAATATTATCTTCATCCTACAGATAAGGAAACTGAAAATCAGAAAAAATAACTAATTGAAGGTTTCCTAAGTGCTATATTTCTGCATTCAAATCTAAGCATCTTGACTTATAGTTCAGTGCTTGCAGAAATTGAATATTGTACTTTAGAAAATTACTTATTAAAGGTGATAGTATAAAGATGTCACAGAGACTTAAATTCAAAGGAGGAAGATGGGATAGGGAGAGTTTTGCAAAGCATTTTAAAAAATGGGTAAGTTGGGTAAGTGTGGGTGGGATTTATATACCAAACATGTAGAAGTTAAAGGTTTATCTGTCCAATAAATCTAATCATTTGCTCCAGTTAGCTTCTAGCTGGTAAAGTTGGATGGACATGAATTCTTCTCAGATGCCCTGTATGAGCCACAGAGAAGGTCTCCACTACTAGAGGTAATAATCTTCTAAGAGATTCTGAAATTACAACTGGGACCTGGCTGAATTAAAGTAGAGGAAAAGCTTTTTTTAAAGAAAGAAAAATGTCTCAACTCTAACTCTAGGAATGAGATGATTCTATGATGACAACACAACACAGAAGCTTACTTTCAAATCCATCATTCTGTTGTTATATGGCTAACAGAAATGTGTTATTCTTTACACAGTAAAATAGAATACTGCCCTTTTTGAGCTGAAGACTAATATTTGAGACAGAAACCTAATGAGTAGGCAGGCTGTTCATTCAATGGGTCTTCCACATTCTATTCTTTTACTAAATATCAAAAAACATACTTTCACCATATCTTACTGTTCCACAAAAACGTCTTTAAGCTTTATTGTTATATATTAAATATTAATAAAGAATCAAATGAAGTATCCATTTAACAATGCTTCCAAGAAAGCTGAAATAATTACAGAGAGACACCATATTAATGGGTAGGAAAGCTTAGTATCATAAGAATGTCAATTTTCCTGAAAGTTATTTGTAAACTCAATGATTACAATAAAAAATACAATCACACATACAAAAAAGTGCTAAATGGCTCTTCAAATAAACTTAATTTAACTATTATGGAAAGCTAAGATTTAAGGTACTGAAAGAATAAAGATAATTTAGAGAACAAGAGTGTAGAAAGCTAGAAATATTTTAGAATAAAAATGTGATTATTTTAAATAAAATAATCAATTATATTGAAAAATGATACTTCTCAGAACAGAAGAGCAAGATGACAACATGTGAAATATGAGAAAAACGTTCAGAGATTTAAAGAATTAATACAGAAGTTCTAAACTGAAAATTTGGCATGCAAAAAAGAACAAAGAAAATGGAATAAAAAGATGCCATTGTTAAAGAAATAAGAAGACAGAATTTTCAAAACTAAAAAAGAATAAGTCTTCAGATTATGACTAGCACAATAAAGAATCAAAGATCCACAATAAGACTCAAATGTCACTGTGAAATTTCAGAATACCACAGATGAAGACAAACCCTTATGAATTCCCCAAGAGGAATGTGAATCGGATTGGCTTTGGGCATCTATTTAGCAACACTAAATACCAGCAGACTGTGCTGCAATGCCATATGTGTGAGATGACACATCTCCTACAGTCAGAGATGTAGAGAGTTTGCTTTCTATTCATCCTGACTAACAAAGTTACTTGAGGAAATATTTCCAACAAAACAACAGGGCAGACAAGAATGGAGACAGCATGAAACCCAGGAAAAAGATCCGGTGCAATAAAGTAGTAAAGGAAAGCTTCCATACAGCAGTACTTCATCAGGCCTAGAAACAATTAGGATAAAAGGCTTCAGGATAAAGACCTTAAGAATACAAATGACTCAACAGAGGACAACATGCTAATAAGAATTAATAATAGAGTGAGATTTATTATAAAGTGCAAAAATCCAAAAGGGAAAAAAGCTAAGAAAGAAAGTCATGACTGAACTGTGAACTGAACTGAACCATGCAAATATGAACAATGGATGGAGTGTTAGAAAAGAGAACTTATTTGGTGATGCTGAGAACTCCCAGAACTGGCTGAAAACTCATGAACATTCAGAGAGGTTGTCCTAGCCATTCTTAGCCTAGGACTAAACAATGTATACAAAATCATAATAATCTAAGTGCTGGTTTTGGCCTTCAAACTTCAGAGCCAACCTATGGACAATGATCTGATCTTAAAACAGAAGAAAGAGTAGGTGCGCACTAATGTTAATACCACACATTACAAGGACTTAGAACACATGTAGACTACCAATGGACCAAACATTAACACTGAACACTTTCCAGTGAAACAAGGGAGCAAACCAAAAATGAAGATAGCATGGAATCCTGGGAGGTGGATCTAATAGAAGAATAATGATTTAAAATTACAAAAGTAGTTGATAGACAAAACATAATAATAAAATTAGCAAACACTGTAAGAAAAAGGGAAGGAGTAATGAAAGGAAACTAAATCCTTCTCTTTCATAATAGATTTCAAGTTGTGTACAGTTGATAGAATTCTGGCAAAATAATAGCTATTCCAATGTGGAAACACTTCTGCTACAGTAGAAATTAAATATAAACCATTGCAAAATAAACAAAAAAACTAAGTTTATTTATCTTTTGCAAAACATAGTTGAGATGTATTTATCATATTATGTAAGGTTCTTTATGTAATGACTAATGCAAAAATCAGGATCTTTATGTACTAATGCAAAAATTAGTTCTTGAATTCTGTCACAGAAAAATAGGAACCCAAAACTTCTTCCATTCCCTTGGTTGGGATACCTAGCATAAGATAAAATTAAGTGGAAAACTCCAGCAATCTGTCTCAAAAGGATTTCCACAGAAGAAAAAGCCCTACTGAAGAGAAGTTCAAATTTTTAAAGAATTAGAAAACACATAAAGAAACCATTTATCATAAGCCAAGAGCCAGAGGAAACACAAGTAGAAGGATCAGTATCCCCAAGTACAGGAGTTACTAGAGCAAAAATGCCATTCAAAAAGGTTTTTAGAAGTGTGATAAAAGTATTAGAGAAATGAAGGTTAGAAATCACAAAGAACAAAATACAAATGAAATGATAAGGTAGATTTGAAAGAATCAAATACAATTTCTAAAAAGAAAAAACAGTCTTTAAAAATTGAAAATTCACTATATGAGTTAAACAGCAATTTCTGAGACACAGATGAAGAAATAATGAGGAGCTATATGGAAGTTCTGGGCCACTCAGACTGAAGGTGAACAGAGGGGAGAGCGCAGGGCTTGTCACACTCTCTTCTGTACTATTTGGACTGTTCAATATTATTACTTTGAGACGCACTATTTTAAAATAAAGAATGCATATGTGTGTTTTACAAAATTTACTTGAAGATAGTATTCTACACCATTTAATGCTCTGTATGTAAGGACTCTTGTGAGAACTGACTTCTCAAATTCATTTATAGGAAATGGGAATCCAAAGCCTCTCTCCCTTTGCCTTAGTTGCAAGAATTCAAGAATAATTTTAGAGTTCCCCAGTAGTGACTCATTATAAATAATCTTTACTCCTCACTTTAATTTTTTTAGCTGGGCACAATGTCACACTCCTGTACTCCCAGCAGCTCAAGAAGCTGAGGCAGGAGAATTGCAAGTTCAAGGCCAGCCTCAGTAACTTAGTGAAGTCCTAAGAAACTGAGTGAGGCTCTGTCTTAAAATAAAATATATAAAAGGGCTGGGAATGTGGCTCAGAGGTTAAATGCCCCCGGGTTCAATCTTCAGTACCAAAAAAAAGATAATTTTTCTTCTGTCTTGTTTTACATCTATTTCTTTTTAAAATCTCTTGAAGTTCCTTTTGGAAGATGGAGGCAGTAAGTCAATAACAAGATGTCATAAATTATAGACTTATTACTCCTCCAAAATGGATTCAACTTACTTAGGTATTTATATTGACTTAAATCTTTCTCTAAAGTGTATATGTTCTTTAAAGGGTGTTAGAGATACACAGATAGGTGTAGGAGCAAATTTACCTTTTACAAAGTTTCTAACTGTGGAGTGGTTCCAGTTGAGACAAGGTAGCAGCAGAGGAGGGCAACCCCCGCCCAACAGGCTCTGAAGGGCCCCCTGAGTGTGCTCAACTTGGAAAACTGCTTCTGCAGTGACTCTCAGTTATCCAATGGATAAGAAGTCTGATTGTTCTCACCACAAGATATGAGGCTCATGTCTTTATAAATCTACACTTACAAGGGAATTAAGTGATGATAAAGGAAAGGAGAGAAAAGATTAGGAAAAATTCAAGATTTTGTTTATCAGTTGTACTTAACACATTTTCCTGCTTCTCCTTAAACTCACATAAAAAAAAGCATTGTAAGCATATTCACTAAAAATCAATCCAGTAACATTTTTTTAAAATTATCTTAAGTATTAAAAACAACTAGATAAAAATCAAGATATCAAATTTAATTTCTTACATAGTAGAGACAAGGCAAATGTTAACATCTTGTGTACTGTTGAACTCCTTCACGATCCTGAGCCTTTCCTCTGATTTTGTACTTCCATCAAGTCGCCGGTAATCCAGCCCAGATGCCATACAGTATTGCTGGAGCACATCAAGCAACTGGAGGAAAGACAGGGAGGGGGACAAATGGGAATTCTTGGTTTATGAGTTTCCTTCCATCACAGACGTTAGACTTACTAAGTATTATTGGCGCTCGTGGTTTCTTTCTTAAAATTCCATGAGCAGTAAATATTTCGAGAGCCAGGTGTAGTAGTGGTAGAACACTTGCCTACCACATGCTGGGCCTTGGTTTGGATTCCCAGCATCGCTAAATAGATAGATAGATAGATAGATAGATAGATAGATAGATAGATAGATAGATAGATAGATATTATTCTCACATCAGACCATATATTTCTTTCAATTTTTCTGAAACTGGCTTTAATGTTCAGAAACCTTTGCTTAAAAAACGATCAAAAAAATCATCTACTCTTTTGAAAACTAAAACCAAATAAAAAGAAATTACTAGTTAAATGATTTATGTAAACATGTTACATTATTAGTATTATTTTCTAAATTCTAAAATATCTCAAGTGTCCCAGAGAACACCTTAATCATAAACAAGCAATCAACAGAAAATGAAAATCTATTTTTGAATTTAACATCTGACAGTAGCCCCTGATATAATTGAGATTTAAGTGTCTATTTGAAAAACCTCAAGTTTTTTACCTTGTCACCATTTAATACTGTATGGAAGACAGAAAAATATGGCTGTAAGCTATTATGTCCCTTCTGCTTTATGTCTCAGAAGCCAGGGCTGGGCATATCAAAAATACATATCAGATAAAACTCACCTTGGTGGAAAAAGAGAAGAGAAGAACCTTATCTCTGTTTTTTCGGAAATGATTTAAAAGCTGCTGAAGAACCTGGAAATGAACCACAGAACATGAGTGAACCAGTCCCAGCTGAAAATATACTTTCTATGTATGAACATCACTTGAGAATTTCTTAAAGGAAGCATTTTAGGTTATAGGATGCATTTAAATGGATTAATTTAATTTCCAAAATACATGTTCTTTATACCTATAATACATTAAGAAACTAAATTATAGAAAGCATACCTTTTAGGAAGTATTTATGCTGTCTCTAGATAGATGTAATGGAATGTGTACAATTACATCTAGGTTCCAAAAGTCTTGATATTTATTTTCCTAAACGAATCAATCCGATATACACCTCTTCTCATTTTCTCCCCTTTGTTTCTCTATTTATAGTTAAACCCTGACTTCCAGATTGGATTTTGACCTCAAAATGCCAATAATCTGTCCCCACACACGAAGCATTTAGGGAGGAAGCAAACTTCTAAAGCCTTGAGTCTAATAGTAATGCTGTTATTTTTAAACAGACATTTCCACATCTGGCAATGACAGTTTCAGAACACCATGGAAAAGCAACCCACAGAGGGGGAAAAAGAAATTTTCTGTATTATGTTTGAAGTTTTTCTTCACTATGAAACAAACACTTAAGCAATTTTATGCATTCAATGATAAATATTCAAACTTTTAAATAAAAAAAATTTACAACCAATAAAACACTCTCTTAATAACTGAGCAAGTGAAGAAGATGCTGTGCTGTTTGATTCCTATTGCCAATCTCTCAAAAAAGCTGAAGATTTTTTAAAGAAATCTACTCAGATAAATAATCAAATGGTAAATGAAAATGTTACTGCTAAAATAAATATTATTTCAATATCTGAAGAACTTAAAAAGTAAGTTTTAACTTGCATTTAGCTTTATTAATAAAATCACGAATCCCATAAACTATGTACATTTGAATTTCATGTAAGACACAATTATTGGCTAAAAGCAGGATTAAAGGCTTGGCATCCCTGCCTCCACTTTGCATCTGTTTCCTTTGCTCGGAGTCTCCTTGGATTCCAGGAAAAGGTCTGATCCCATAAACATCTTGTGATGAGCAGAAGCTATTCCTCATGCAACATCAAGTTTTGTATGGAATTAGGGGAGGAAGAAAGTCCCCTCTGAACCAATCCTGAGATAAGGATGTACAGACCACACCTGATCACAATCACCTGCTTTGACGACTATGAAAAGCCTCTAGGTAGCTGGGCAAACCCCCCAACTTTAGCCTTCATTCCCTATTTTTAAAACTTCAGGGCCATGGACAGGGGCCTCCTTGTCTTCCTGGTGCAGCTGCACTGATTAAGTTCCTTTCAAGTTTTTTACCATTACCTTTTCAGTTTGGTGTTTGCAATGAGTAGATGGGCTTGATTTACTGGATCCCCAGAGTCAGGCCTCTGGCCTACTATTCTAGTAACATCACAAGAAAACATATCACTTATCATTATTACTATGGCACATTTGTAACAACTGATTAAGGATATTAATATATTAATACTGAAGTCTGCAGTTTACGTTAGGATTCATTCATTGTGTAGTATGGTTCTATGGGCTTGGAAAAAACTGAATCATAACACACACAACACACACACACAATTATAGTATTATAAAGAACAGTTTCACTGCACTAAAAATTCCTTGTGCTTCACCTATTCAGCCTTCCTTCCTCCAGAACTCATAGAAACCACCTTTTTATTGCCTCTATAATTTTTCCTTTTCCAGAGTGTCATATAGTTGGAATCATATAGTCTTTTCAGACTGGCTTCTTCCATTTAGCAATATGCATTTAGGTTTCCCCATGAAATTCATGGTTTGATAGCCTAATTATTTTTATTGCTAAATGATATTCCATTGTATGATGGCACCAGTTTGCTTATCCATTCACCTACTGAAGGGCATCCTTGTTACTTCCAAGCTCTGGCAATTATAAATATAGTCATAGAGGTTCTTGTGAAAATGTAGTTTTTAGCTCATTAAAACTCATTGATTTAATTTGTTTTAACTCAATTGGGTAAATACCAGGGCCTGTGATTGCTGGATCATCTGATGAGAGCATAATTAAGGTATTATTTTTTAAAATTTTAATTTTAAATCTTTACTAAATATTTAAATTTAAGAGCTCAAAAGATAAGAGCTTTGTGAGAAACCACCAAACTATCTTCCAAAGTGGTTGCACCACTGCATCCCACCAGCAACAAATGGGAGCCCTGGTGCTCCACACCCTCCCCAGCATTTCATGTTTTCATTGTTCTGGATTGGGCCATTTTAATGGGTGTGCAGTGGCATCGTGTTTTATTTTGCAATTCCTTAATGGCATATGATATTGAGCATCTTTGCATATGCTTATTTGCCACCTGTACATGTTTTTGGTGAGGTATCTATCCAGATCTTTGGCCTACTTTTAATTTGGGTTACCTGTTTTCTTACTGTTGAGTTTTAAGAGTTCTTTTTATCTTTTGAACACCATTCTTTATTGGTTTGCAAACACTTTCTCCTGATCTGTGACTTTTCTTTTCATTCCCCGAAAGAATGTACAGGACAAGAAATCTACTCTTATTGTTTGGGGTGGTATCATTACATATTAACTTTAGGCGTTTTCAAATATTTTACAGTAAAAACAAAAACAAGCCATAGGAAAAGTGAACATTTTTAGATTGGAGATCTTCATTAGGCTAATTTAAACAAACTCACTAAATACATAACTATAGATTAAGATCCCTTATAATAAATTTTAAAAAACGACAATACTGTCAACACATGTTGAAGCCTTGATAATACAGACCCAAAGTTTTATCACTTAGTTGTCTTCCACAGAACACGACAACCTACTATTTTTTTTTAAAAAAAGCCTAAATTTGAGAGGTTCACAGCAAAGGTAATGTGGATCTAACTTTTCTCAACTTTGCCAGACAGGCCTAGAAAAGTGAACTTTGTGTGATTTGAGCAACACTTTTTTTCTGTGCCCCTCTTTCTAAGTGGCATTCCCAATGGGAAAAAACTGAGAATTCTTATCAGGTGAATGAGTGAAACTTGTGACTATCCCCTGAATGGTAGCTGAAATAATGAATAACCTTAACACTCAAGATAAAGAGCTGGGTCATGAGTATAATTTTGAGCATATGAAGACTATAGCAGGCATTATGTTCAGAGTCCTTGTAGCTGTATGGTGACCTGAGATAAGACAAGCAGAACCTGAGTCTTTGACACCTCAATTCAAAAAGAATGTACAACTCAATTACTTGGAGTTATTTATGCCATAGGCAATAATTCTATGGTAAACCAATAGGTTCAGATCACCAAATCAATATATCACCAGATGATGTTGTTAATCAAATGATGAGAAATAGTCCTAAAATATCTATTCAGAGGTCCCAAGCAACCAACCATGATAAGCTTATCTAGATTAACTGTTAAAGGTATTTTCAGGGGGGAAAAAAAAAAAAGCTAACTACTTTCAATTATTTCCTTTTTATACTCTTTTTGCCAAAAGAAATAGCTTACCTTTTTATTAATTATAAAGTTGGGAATTATTCTGCAAAAAGCTCTGAATCCATAAATAAAAGTTCTTTGTAATAAAGAAGCTAAGCAAAAGTGTTTTCTTGCCAGGAGGCTGGAAGCTGCCAGCATTTCAAGCAGCTGTCAGAGGCAATGTCCGAAGGCCTGGGATCATGGGTGGAGAACCTAGCTTTACCTCTCATAGCCCTCCTTCAGCATGGCTACAGGTCAGTTTCCCTGTGCACAATGAAGTTCCCTTGCAAACTTACAATTTAGGTCACCAAGTGAAAAAAAAGGTAGACAATTCAGTATAGGCACAGATACTTTGCCCATCATGAGCTCTTCAAAGAATTCTTTCAATACCTATCCTCACCTTCCTGTCTAGCACCTGCATTTACACTTTCAGTAGATCATTTCCCCTTTTTGAAGAACAGCGATTATGTTTGTGGTAACAGCACACATTTTAAGAGGGCATAAGTCAATACATCAATAAGGAAAGGCTGAAGTACATTTGATATGACTGCTACTGAGAACCACTGTATGCACACATCTGTATGCAGGGTTCCTAGTGACTAGGTAAATGCAAATAGAACTACACCAGCTGTCCATAGCCACCGTCTCTTCTGAACATTTGAGAACTTGTTCTGATTAGCTGGTGTCCCTGCCATACCATGGATAAATACTGTGAATGTCATCTCCATCTGTGTGCAACCTAAAAAAGGAGTACTCACCTTCATTTTCCCACTGTATTTAGGATCAGAAAGAGTTTCAAAGGACGATTCTTTGCTTTTCTGCACAAAATCCGGGAATTTGGAAAATACCTGATCACATATCCTTTTGATAAGTGTTTCCTTGTGAGGGAGAGGTAAAAGATAAGAATTTCAACTTAACACATTTAAACCTGCATAAATTGAAATTGTTTATGGAGAAAATAGTTCTATTTTCAAGGAATGCATTACTTTGAAGATTTTGCCTTCTCTAAATCAGAATAACTCAGAAAATCTTAAAGTGATATTAAGATATATGCTTTGATAAATATGACTACTAACTTTATTATTACTTTTTCAAAATTTCCAAAACTGGGAAATAAACACCCCCAAGAGTAAGTGTACTGATAAATACAATCAATAAGAGTGTCAGTTATAGGTTATAGGCTAGTAAAAAATATAGATTATAGATATAAGATTTTGATAAGTGAGATAAGTCAATTATAAAGCAAGAACGGCTATAGGCAGGCCTAAGACTCCATTTTGCTGTTTTCTATTAAAAAAAAAAAAAAAAAAAACTATTACAAGAGCTATTTCTGACTGAAATGAAAGCTGTTTTCTTACAATATATTGTTTGCTATACTTTATACCCCACAAAATGTACTCAACCCAGAATATGATGGTCTTAGTGACCCAGGACTTTGAAGTAGATTCTTGCCTCCATTAACCACCTGCCCGAACTCAGGATATGGTTGACTAACACCTGCTCAAACCCAAGATGTGATTGTCTTGAGTTCCTGTGCTAATTGCTGCCTTAGCTTCTACAACTGGTTTGCTTGCATGACACTAAGGAAAGTCCCTGAGCTTCGGTTTTCATCCTTAAATTCCAAGACACAGACCAAGTGGTTGCTGCTCTTCCATATATTTCAGTCTGTATGGGTGGGTGACAGTCTCGGGCCAGGTAAATAAATCCCCCTTTGATTTCAATTTGAACTTAGAGTATTTCTGAAGTGGCTCCCCATAACAGTACTATCAAAGAATATTAAATTCAAAATTTAAAAATTAAATTTAAACAACATCAACAATAACATGAAAATAAAATAAAATCATTACATAAAAGGCTTTTGAAAAGATCTTTTTATTTATGTTATGCTCTAGTATAAGACACAATTGAAACTACCAAAGTAGATGATTATATTTAACACTAAACTCTGAAATTACTGATTTTTTCCACTTTAGGAAAAAGTCCTAATATTTAATATGCATATTAGTTATCCTACTTTTACCCAGAGTAGATAAATATAAGTAGATATTTCATTAATGGGATAGCCTGATCAAATATCTTACTTAGTAATTATACCAAAGTATATTAGGGAGAATAAATGAGCATTATTAGAAGCATAAAAAAGTTTTTTTAAAACAAAACACTTATTTATTTTTTTTTTTAGTTGTAGTTGGACACAATACATTCATTCATTCATTCATTCATTCATTCATTTATATGTGGTGCTGAGGATTAAACCCTGGGCCTCCCATGTGCTAGGCAAGCACACTACCACTGAGCCCCAGCCCCAGCCCAAGAAGCATAAAAAAGTTTTTAAGTTTAAATGTTCTCAGTTTGATTAAAAGTTTAAGTGTACATGCTTCTTAATATTAACATTTTATTTTTTATTATTGTTTTGGAACTGGGGACGGAACCCAGGGCCTCATGCATGCTAGGCATGAGTTCTAACAGTGAGCTGCATCCCCAGCCACCTAAATTTTAAAATGAGTAGCTCAGTTTTCTTTTAAACTTCACAGACACACATACAAAAAAACACCTTAGGAATATTTAGCTAAGAAATTTTATACTAAATACCAATTTATATCAATAGCAATATCACTTTTATACCAATAGTATCATAAAAAATGTAAAAAGCCAACCCACACCTGTTGTTTGGAGGTACTGGCAGCTTGCAACAGTGCGACATGATTAGCCACCTTCTGAAGGACTGCGAGGTAACTGAGACACAAGGTTTGTACCGTTTCACCACGGGAATTGGTCTGTAACCAGAAAAATACAGAAATTAAAAGCAAGAAAAGAACTTACACGGCTATGTAACTGCTTACGTCAAAAAATATCTCACAATATTTATTATCTAGTTACTTTGGCACAATGAATTCTAAGAAAATGATGGTCAACTATATACAAAATATCTATGAATCAATAACATGGAATCATTTTTGGTGAATCATAATATAATAATGCTTTTTAAATCCTCATTTTGGAGCATATTTATCCTTGTAATACACAGTAATAGAAATGTTGCTGCTATTAAAAGTTTCCTGGTGACAAAGCTATGACATAGTTACAGCACTACACAGACCTCTTTATTCTACAATTTATGTTTCAACATTTTCCAGGAAACTGAGCTATTTCAAAAAGGGGAAGTAGTTAAAATAGTAAAGTAGATGAGATGAAATAAATATCCATCTACTTAAATATTTATTTAGGGTTCTTATATGTATATGGATATGTGACATAAAATAGGCAAAGAAAGAACAGGAAATATAGATGGTAAGGAAAAAAAGTACAAATGAAATTTGTTTCTAAAAAAACTTTTATTCTACTGATATAGTTTCTATTAAACTGACACTATGTCTAACATCTGAATAGTATTTAAGACACAATTGAAACTACTGAAGTAGATGATTATAAATATAATTATATATATATATATATATATATATATATATATATATATATATATATATATATATATATATATATATATATATCTGAATAGTATTTAAGACTGTCATTAAGGAGTAAATCATTTTACCACTAGTGGATAATGACAAAATTAATTCTAATATTTATACTTTTGTGGGGGTACTGGGGATTAAATTCAGGGATACTCGACCACTGAGCCACAACCCCTGCCCTTTTTGTATTTTATTTAGAAGACAGGATCTCACTGAATAGCTTAGTGCCTTGGTGGTGCTGAGGCTGGCTTTGAACTCTTGATTCTCCTACCTTCCAAGCCACTGGGATTACAGGCATGCACCACTGCACCTTGCTAATTTATACTTTAAATGAAATTTCATGATAAAAGTGGCCTACTTTCCAGCAAAAGCTAAAAGAGAGGATATCAAATTGAAGCATCTAAAATTAATTTTTCAAAATGCTTAAATATTGTATTTTATACGTGGTAACTATTTGATATTATAAACCATTTTTGAAAACTTTTCTCTCTTTAAAACTTATAACGTCTTTCCAAAGTTAAAAAACTATCTGAGGAAAAGTCATTTTGTTTATCTACTACTTACTTTGGCACTAACACAGAATACAAGATGATAAGGCAAGATGGTAAAGACACGCTGAATTGCTTACCTTATAACAACAATTTCTCCTTTTCCGGCCACTGCTGCAGGTACAAGGCATAGAAGATTGAAGTATCAGAGTGACATCTTCTGTTTCTAACACTGTTTGATAGACAGCTTTCTGGAAATCCGTCAGAGAGCAATAAACCATCTGCCAAGAAAAAATACAAGTCGAGTATTAGTATCATTTTAATAGCAATAATAATAAATACAATGCATATAGAATTCACAAATTATATTAGTGAATTTGTGAAAACTGATGATTAATTTTCCCCTGTAGCTTCCCTCATTATGAAAATTTTTCCCAATTCTCTTAAACTCTTTGCTACCAAATCATAATTTCATTTTCAAATAAACCTCACAGAATTTCTTGGCTTTCAATTAAAAGGAAATATAACATGAAAATCAAGTTACATGATTTCCTTATGTATTTTTCAATATACTGTGAGTCTTTTCAAGGTTATATATTAATCCATCATACAAATAAATTATTACAATTTAGGTCAAACAAAAAAAAAACTTGCTAAGGAAATAAAAGATTTCATTTAAAAAGTATGAATAATAAGTGACTACCAAATAATTGGAAACCTTAAAAAAATTTAAAACTTCATATTATTGGAAACTGAAAACATCGTTATTTGTATTTAATATCATGATATAAACTTTTAAGATTAGGAAAGACAAAGAGTTAAGTAAATGTATATAAAAGCAAATATAAATTGCTATTTTGTGCCCAAATTCAAGAAAATATGATGAAACTATGTCATTAGGTTATGAGGGATATAATTTACCTCATATTTCTGGTAGCACCAGAGATTGTCAAAATTCTTCTAGATGCAGCTATGTGTTACTAGATTCATAAACTAAACATACATACATTTATACACACATTCATAATAGGACTTTGAGGAATATGAGCAAAAAGGAAAAGCTGTTTATGAATATTTATGTGTATATCAACACCACAGAATAATATTGTAGAAAAATGACATGACATTGAGCAAACAGGAAACAATGCTAGATTTTTAATAAATATATGTATAATATTAAGCATATCTTGACTCCCCAGTGTTGAATATAAAAGTATATATAAGAACAAAAAGAGAATACAGAAGACCATGGTCAATAATTGCAATATGAAGGTTTTTCTGAGTTGTTATTATTAAACACAGTAATATTTACTAAACATTTCTTCTGCACCACGCACTTTAGAGCAACCATATGAGGTTGGCTTATCATTATTTCCATTTAACAAATGAAAAAATCCAAGTTTGAGAACCTCGGCACAAAACTCTTAAGTGGGGAAGCCAATTTAAGCTGTAGCATCTGATTTTGGAGCCCAAGTTTGAAACCTCTATGCACAATTCTCTCTTCATATATTTATGATTTCATTGTTCCTACTAGATGGATAACTAAATAACATACAATTATATAAAATATTTTTTAAAGTGAGGAGATTGTGAAATATCTAAATACAAGAATAATTTTTGCTTTAGATGAATATCAAAAGTCACATACTGTGTCAATTTCCCCATCTTGCATATCAGTGTTGGATTTTCTTTGTAAGTCTATCTTTTAAAAGTAATACTAAACAGGATATCCTAAGATTAGAGGTCATTTGATGGTGTTACCCTTATTTGGGAGAATACTAACGAAGTTTAGTTCATAGTAATTTATAGAATCTTCATTCCATTGTCTGAGCTAAAAGATTGACAAGACCAAAAACTATAAAAGACTACTATATTTTTTAAAATTTCTCTTAAAAGTCAACTGAAAATTTCTTTAAAAATTTAATAATGTAATTTTCTCACATTAAAATTTATAAAAAATTAGATAATATAATTGCCAATATCATTCTACATAAAACAAACCTAGAAATAAAGCCCTTAACCATCTTGGTCCTATAGTTAGAATTAAGGTACCAATACATGGCGTGGTAGAAAGTAGACAGTACGGGGAAGACAGAGTGTGAACAGAAAATACATTAGGGAGAGAGGCTCGTCTAACTTCCTTTAAGAATTGTCTCATGGCAATAGTAACAAAAACAGCATGGTACTGGTACCAAAACAGGCGGGTAGACCAATGGTACAGAATAGAGGACACAGAGACCAATCCACAAAATTACAACTATCTTATATTCGATAAAGGGGCTAAAAGTATGCAATGGAGGAAGGATAGCATCTTCAACAAATGGTGCTGGGAAAACTGGAAATCCATATGCAACAAAATGAAACTGAATCCCTTTCTCTCCCCATGCACAAAAGTTAACTCAAAATGGATCAAAGAGCTTGATATCAAATCAGAGACTCTGTGTCTGATAGAAGAAAAAGTTGGCTCCGATCTACATATTGTGGGGGCGGGCTCCAAATTCCTCAATAGGACACAAATAGCACAAGAGTTAAAAACAAGAATCAACAAATGGGACTTACTCAAACTAAAAAGTTTTTTTCTCAGCAAGAGAAACAATAAGAGAGGTAAATAGGGAGCCTACATCCTGGGAACAAATCTTTACTCCTCACACTTCAGATAGAGCCCTAATATCCAGAGTAAACAAAGAACTTAAAAAATTAAACAATAAGAAAACAAATAACCCAATCAACAAATGGGCCAAGGACCTGAACAGAAACTTCTCAGAGGAGGACATACAATCAATCAACAAGTACATGAAAAAATGCTCACCATCTCTAGCAGTCAGAGAAATGCAAATCAAAACCACCCTAAGACACCATCTCACTCCAGTAAGATTGGCAGCCATTATGAAGTCAAACAATAACAAGTGCTGGCGAGGATGTGGGGAAAAGGGTACACTTGCACATTGCTGGTGGGACTGCAAATTGGTGCCGCCAATTTGGAAAGCAGTATGGAGATTCCTGGGAAAGCTGGGAATGGAACCACCATTTGACCCAGCTATTGCCCTTCTCGGACTATTCCCTGAAGACCTTAAAAGAGCGTACTATAGGGATACTGCTACATCGATGTTCATAGCAGCACAATTCACAATTGCTAGACTGTGGAACCAACCTAGATGCCCTTCAATAGATGAATGGATAAAAAAAATGTGGCATTTATCCACAATGGAGTATTACTCAGCACTAAAAAATGATAAAATCATGGCATTTGCAGGGAAATGGATGGCATTAGAGCAGATTATGCTAAGTGAAGCTAGCCAATCCCTAAAAAACAAATGTCTTCTTTGATATAAGGAGAACAACTAAGAACAGAGCAGGGAGGAAGAGCATGAGAAAAAGATTATCATTAAACAGGGACAAGAGGTGGGAGAGAAAGGGAGAGAGAAGGGAAATTGCATGGAAATGGAAGGAGACCTTCATTGTTATACAAAATTACATACAAGAGGATGTGAGGGGAAAGGGAAAAAAAAACAAGGGAGAGAAATGAATTACAGTAGATGGGGTAGAGAGAGAAGATGGGAGGGGAGGGGAGGGGGGATAGTAGAGGATAGGAAAGGTAGCAGAATACAACAGTCACTAGTAATGGCAATATGTAAAAACGTGGATGTGTAACCGATGTGATTCTGCAATCTGTATACGGGGCAAAAATGGGAGTTCATAACCCACTTGAATCAAATGTATAAAATATGATATGTCAAGAGCTTTGTAATGTTTGGAACAACCAATAAAAAAATTAAAAAAAAAAAGAATTGTCTCATGGGCCTTGATAAGAAGTGAATTTAATTAATTTTATGATTTGGATCATACCTTTTCCTCCAAGGCCCCTATGCTACAGGCTTGGTTTGGTGGTACTACTGGAACCTTTAGGAAGTGGGGTCCAGTGAAAGGAAGCTGGGTCGCTGGGGGCTTGCCCTTGAAGGAAATACTGGACCCTCCGCTTCTTCCTATCTTTCTTTTTCCTTCCCAGATGTCATGACATGAGCAGCTTTGTTTCACCACATACTCAAGCCAGAATGTTGTTGCCTCCAGCCCAAAACAACAAGGCTAAGCAAACATGGACTGAAACCATGAGCCAAAATAAATCTTTCCTCCTTTTAAGTTGATTTATCTCAAGTGTTTCATAGCAGCAGAAACATGATTAATACATATATTAACTTCAAACCTGTTAGCTCACAGATTAGTAAAACTAGGAAGGAAAACAACTGAGCTCAATTAATGTTTTCTGAAATTCCACACATAATAATTTTTGTCCACAAAGAATAAAAGGCACAAAATTATATTCACAAAATACCATAGAAGACAGACTTCCTCTAGGAAAGAAAAATTTTCAGGAAAAAAAAATGACAAGAATTTAATAATATACACAAATATACACAAAAATAATAATATACACAAGCTCTTACCCGATCTTCCTTCTTAGGCAACTGATCCTTGATGAGAGTCTTGGTTCGCCTGAGAAACCAGCCAGACATCTTTTCTGCAAGCCTTTGCATGGCCTTTCGGCCAGTAGCTAGTTCTCTTTTTGTTGCTGTGTGTCTCTGACCATGTTCTACTGGGTCAGAAAACTGCTTCTTGAAGTGGATCCTGCTACCTAAAAGTCCTGGCACAGCCCTACAGTAAAGCAATGAGAAAAAATGTGACATTTTATTAAGTTATCTAAAAGAAAAACATTCACTTATTTTTGCATCTAAGAAATATCTTCATCCACTTGTTTATAAGACAACAAAAACAAAAGCCAAGAAAAAAGTGTTCTTCTTTGATAATGGTTTCAGTTTATAAAAAGATAATGACGGCATTGGTAAGTTAGCTATACTTACAGTGCCAAGAAGAACATGTAAAGGTAGGTTTGCATGGGATTCTCTATATACCATGTTTAGGATCAAATAATTCTGCAGTTAAATGACTAATCTTTTGGTTTTTGTTTCCTAAAACTAACAATTAGCTAACAAGAGAGTGTTAAGGGAAAAAAGTACTCAATAATTGTTTTTCCTAAACAGTTTTTTCACTCACCAGTCCATAACACACCACAGTTCCTTCATGTTGTTCTGAAGAATGGTTCCAGTGAGGCCAATGCGAACATTACACTTGAGCGCTTTCATTACTTCTGTTACTCTCGCCTTTGGATTCTTGATTCTATGAGCCTCATCCACAATGATAGCTGACCACTCCAAACTATAAAGTAAGAGTAAAATCAGGAAACACTGCGAAAACTAGAATTTTTAGAGAACAGTTTTCCCTACCGAAGTTTTGTAGCCCCCATCATTATTTATTCTTTGGCTATTTCATTGTATTCTTACCTAGTTAAGTTGTTACAGGCTTAAATAGGGTATAAGAATAAAATGTGCATGAAGAATATAAAAGGGTACAGAGATTATGCTTAATGACAGTGGAATGCTGGGGGCTGGGGATGTGGCTCAAGCGGTAGCATGCTGGCCTGGCATGCGTGAGGCCCGGGTTCATTCCTCAGCACCACATACAAAAAACAAAAAGATGTTGTGTCCGCCGAGAACTGAAAAATAAACATTAAAAAATTCTCTCTCTCTCTCTCTCTCTCTCCCTCTCCCTCTCCCTCCCTCTCCCCCTCTCTTAAAAAAAAAAAAAAACAGTGGAATGTGGGCTGGGGATGTGGCTCAAGCTTAGAGGTAGTGGGGTGCTAGGTTCGATCCTCAGCACCACATAAAAATAAAATAAAGATATTGTGTCCACCGAAAACTAAAAAATAAATATTAAAAAAATTTTTTAAAAATAACACTGAAATGAAAAAACAAATTTAAACATCACTAAATGACAACAAATTTTTTTAAAGCAGCAAACTGGAAACAAGAATACAAATAAAAGAAAACTTTGCAACATTAAATCTGCATGAGAAGACAACAATATAAACTCAGGATTTTTTAAAAGCTGCAATACGTTACTCTGCTTACTGAAAAAGTGTATTACCATTGGTTACTACAGTAGCAATGAGCATGCATTGTGGTTAATCTACGAACAAGAAACAGAGTCCTGTGGAAAATGGAGAATGGTCAATTTTAGGCACTGAACAGGGGAAATGCTTAAGAGTTAGAAAACCCAGATGTATTCAAAGACAAATGACATGTCCAAAGGACACAAGAGCCAGCCTAACTGGAATACTGAAGCATCAAGAATAATAGCTATAATTGAGTAGAAAGCCCTGAATAAATAAAAGTTAGGAGTTCAATGAAAAAATTTAGACCCTTTCCTCACCTTATGCTAAAAATTAATTCAAAATAGATGATAGAGTTAAATATGAAGTAAAATTATAAAGTTCACAAGACACAAAAAAATCTTCACGATTCAGGGTTAGACACAAACTTTTTAGATATGACAGCAAGAAAATTTCTTAAAAACTGTTAAGTTGGACTTTAACAAATCCTAGTTGGATAAAAGACTTGAATATGGAATACATAAAGAACTATTACAACTCAACACAATAGAAAGCAAACCAATTAAAAGGTGGGTGAAAGACATTTTGCCTAACTTCTTCTTGAGAGGGAAAAGGGCTGAGCAGTGAGAAACTGTGTTGGAGACAACTGTTACGATAACTGCTTACTCCCCAAATTAGGGATGCAAAAGAAGTACACACTCACTTTGCCACTTTAAGGTCAAAATTGTACTTAATTCCTAATTAATGAGAAATGCTTTTCTTTACAGGAAAATACTACTAGTAAGTACAGAAGAAAATAGAAAAACAATGTAAAACCCAATAAAATAAATAATACAGGCAAGAATTTGAATATGTTAATACTTCTAAGTAAAAAGGCTGAGAGAATACTTAAATGGTAGTAAAATATCACCTCACAAATTATTTGCTCATTATAAGAGAAACACCTTTACAGTGGAAGGGTCTGGTGACCATCTCCTTAACCTCTGAGACAGGCCTGGTGTCTTTAACAGTGCAAGAGCCTGACAGGAACAGGCCCTGAAGTGCAATAATGTAAAGTCTACAGCATTGCTCATGAAGCAATCTTGCCCAAAAACACGAATCTAATTAAGACCTTAGGCTAGAATCAGTTTACTCAAGAAATCAGATGGTAGAGGAAAGCAATTTTTGTTTGTTTGTTTGTTTTGTTACTGGGGATTGAACTCAGGGGCACTGGACCACTGAGCCACGTCCCTGACCTTATTTTGTATTTTATTTAGAGATAGGGTCTCACTGAGTTGCTTAGTGCCTTGCCCTTGCTGAGGCTGGCTTTGAACTCATGATCCTCCTGCCTCAGCCTCCAGAGCCACTGGGATTACAGGCATGTGCCACCAAGCCCGGCAGAAAGCAATTTCTTAAGAAAGCAATCAGACAAATCTAATATATGAGACATCCTAAGAACAACTGGCTTGGTCCCCTCAAAGGGTCACATCATGAAAAAAAAAAAAAAAAAAGAGTTGGAAAGATGGATAAGATGACTTACAATAGATTAGGAGAGACTAAAAAGACTGAGTAACCAGATTCATTATCTGAAGCTTTATTAAATCTTGCTTTACAAACATTAGATAATAAAGATATTTTGAGGATAACTAAGTACATTTTTTCTGTTATTAATTTTCTTATGTGTGAGACCAATGATAAAATATTTGCAGATAAAAAGTTCTCATGCTATATGCAACTTACTGAAATGATTCAATACCACTAGTATACATAGAGAATATAAAGAACTGATGAATCTAAGGGGTAAGTATATAAATGTTCTTAATTCAAAACTGAAAAAGCCTTCAAGAACAAAGAGGAAGAGAGAAAACAGCCACAAAACTCTCGAAGTTGGAAAGATGGATAAGATAACTTACAAAAGCAGAAAAAGCAGTATCATAAGGCAACAGTGGAGAAAGCCAAGAAGCAATCAGATTTATACATTTAGGTCTTAAAAGGCCAGGACTTGGTGGCACCAGATGCCTCTGGAAACTAGAGTGAGGAAATGCTCAGCAGTCTGTTCAAGATGTAGCTGAAATCTCCTAGAGACCAATTCCCACTCCACAGAATAGTCGGACTAGGTTACCCCAAAGTGAAGAAATGAAAAGCAAAACACAGCAGTCTTCATTTTCTTTAAGATATTATTGAAATCTGAAGAAAATTTTAAAGTTATAGTATAATCATAGATGTAAAAAATAAGACAATTAGTATGAGCTGAAGGTACAGGTAAGGAGTTTAGGGGTAGATGGAATAAACTGCAGCTCTTCCTACAACTCTTTTATCATATTTGGCCTTCAAATAAGATGCATATATAACTTTGATAAAGATTAAAATAAAGTAAAAAAAATAGAATAAGAAAAACATATAGTTTTCTCATACTCTATAGTATGCTTTTCTACCCTTTGGATTATCTATGATAAATGTACAGAGTATTATTATCACAGCAATAATATTTAGTCAGATGAAATATTATTCTTTGAAAAAAACTATCAAAATAAAGACATCTGAACAAATGAATACAACAAAATAAATAAACAAATATTGTAATATTTTGATTCTACTAATCATATAAATAAATAATTAGTAGTTACATAATTCTCAGAATTCTTTAATATTTATAGCAGTCATAGAAAATAACCAATTAACAAATATTTCTTCAGTAACTAATATGTGCCAAAAGTGTAATAAGCACCAAAATATAAAATTAAAAGTAAAATCTATATTAAAGAGCTTATAGTCTAAAGGCATAAGCAGGTAAAGAATAATGAAAATATGAATGGTGCTATCATAAATCAACTTATCGCATTCACCTAACTGTATTAAGTCTCTTGGGGGATACAGTTTGCTTGTTAAAAACCCACACATGTTCAATGTGCAAATCTCATGTCCATGACTAACTTCATTACGTAGACTTGGACAACATACTTAATCACTCCATGCTTATTTTTGTAGGTGGTGGGTGTGTACCAGGGATTGAACTCAGGGGCACCTGACCACTGAGCCACATTCCCAGATATTTTTTGTACTTTATTTAGAGACAGGGTCTCACTGAGTTGCTTAGTGCCTCACTGTTGTTGAGGCTGGCTTTGAACTCTAGTCCTGTCTCAGCCTCCTGAGCTGCTGGGATTATAGGCGTGTGCCACCATGCCCAGCTTTACTCCAAGCTTTTAATTACCTGTCTTAGGCCAGCATCCATGAAACAGTAACATGCTAACTTATTAACCCTAAGGGCTAATAAGACCTGGAAAAAATGGTGTTCTAAACCCAACTTTACCAATAATTACATTAAGTATGAATGGTCTAAATACCCCGAATAAAAGGCAAAGATTATCAGAATGGATTTAAAAAGCTATATGCTAACTATAAAGAGATTCACTTCAAATATAAAAAAGAAATGTGAAATAAAAGATGGAAAACTATATACATACAATAAGCATAAGAAGAATCTATTGTTACAGATGCTAATATCAAAGACAAGAAATATTATTAGAAATAAAAAGAAACACTTTTAAATACAAGGAATAATTCATCAGAAAAAAAATAACAGTAATTGCACTTGTGCCTAATAATATAGCTCCAAAACTACATGAAAGCTGCAGACTGAAAGGAGGAATCAGGCTTTGATCTCAACACTTCTCTCTCAGAAACTATGAACCAAGTCAAAGAAAATCAGTAAAGATGGAGAACACTTGAATAATGCCTTAACCAAGTCTACTTAATATGTATAGAACACTATACTCAACAACTGTAGAATAGACTTTTTAAGTGTGTGTGGATCAGAAACACGCAAATTACAATACAAGATACTATTATATACTCACTAAAATGGTTAAAAACAAAGGCTGACAATGCAAACACTGGTGAGGATGTGCAGCAACTGAACTCTCTCTAAGGTAGAATGGTAGGACCATTCTAGAAAATGATTTGGCAGTTTTTTCTAAAGTTAAACCTTCTCTTACCCTGAAACTCAGAAATTCTACTCCCAGGTATTTACCCAAAAGAAATGAAAATATTATAGTTTAGAAAAAAGGCTTAAAAACAAATATTTCTTGAAATTTTATTTCTAATAATTTCAAACTAGAAAAACCCAAATAGACATCCTCAAGTGAATAGGTAACAAAATGTGGTATACTTATAAAATGAAATACAAATCAACATTTAAAAAGAACAATCACTGAGGACTGGGGATATAGCTCAGTTGGTAGAGTGCTTGTCTTGCATTTACAAGGCCCTGGGTTCAATCCCCAGCACCACTAAATAAATAAATAAATAAATATTTTTAAAAAACCCAACAATCACTGATATACTCAATAACATGGATGACTCTCAAACATGCTCAGCAAAAGATGTCAGAAACAAATGAAGAGTACTTTCTAATTTTATTTTCTCATCTGTAGTGACAGAAATCAAAATCAATGGGTAAAGATTAGAGAAGGAATGACAATAAAGAGAAAAGTCTGGAGACTATAAAAAAACGTTAGACTTTGTTTAGAATGATAGTTGAGTTCAAGTTTCCATTTGTCAAAAGCAGAGGTCAGTCAACTACAATCCAAGGGCCAAATCTAGTTTGTGACCAATTTTGTATAGTTAGCAAGCTAAGAATAATTTTTATATATTTGAAGGGTTATAAAAATTAAAAAGAATAATACTTGACAGATACTTTACGTGGCCCTCAAAATTATCTGGGGTTTTTGTTTGGTTGGTTGGTTTGGCTTGGTTTGGTACTGTGGAATCAACCTACAGGCACTTAACCACTGAGTCACATTCCCAGCCCTTTTTTTTTATTTTGAGGCAGGGTCTTGCTTAATTGCTTAGGGCCTGGCTAAATTGCTGAGGCTAGCTTTGAACTCTTGCTTTAGCTTCCTGAGTTGCTGTACCTGGCCCCAAATATCTGGTACTTGAGAGCAAAAGTTTGCCAGTTCTTAGGCAAGATTCATCAAACTATATATAGCTGTCCCTTGGTGTCTGCAGGGGATGGGTCCAGGGGACAAATCCATGGATGCTCAAGTGGCTCATATAGAATGGCACAGTATTTGCATAAAACCTAATGCACATCCTTCCATATACTTTAAATCACCTCTATATTACTTATAACTAATACAATGTAAATGATATGGAAATAATGGTTATATTGAATTGTTTAGGGAATAATGTAAGGAGGAAAAAAAGCCTGTACAAGTTCAGTATAGATGCATTATTTTTTATTTTCAATCTGCAGTTGGTTAAATTCCCAGATATAGAACTTCCAGGTATGAAGGGCTAACCATACTTATAATCAGTATTAAGTATTTTGTACCAAATTAGTGCTTATTAAAGTTGAATCTAATAAAATTTTCCAGATGGGTTTGAACAGTCAGTTTTGGATTCACCTTGTCATTTTTCCAGATGAGTTGATTTACTAAAAGTTACATAGTTAATTAGTGGCTTTTGTAATTTTAAATATATTTTATGCTTATAAAATTAATGTAACAACTACTGATTGTTGTTTTTATTCATTTTTATCTTATGTCAAAGCATTTATATTTTGATTTGAAAGCATCACCTTTAAAAATAACATGGTTTTCTGCCATTAACTCTTTCACTGACAATAATTGAATATATACTGTTTTAGCAATTTAAAGATATTCAAGAACTTTTTCTAATGCCATACTAGGTATAAACTGTATCCTAACAGGCAGACAGACATCTTAGCTAGCAGCAGATCAAAGTTAACAATTTTACCAAGGCTCAAGCTGTTGCTGGCACAATTATGAAGAGTTTAGACCTGACTACTATGTTCCCTTGGCCAGACTATTATAAAAGCCTTGCCAAAATAAAATATCACAGACTGGATGAGTTAAACAAGAGAAAATTTCCCACAATCCTGAAAGCTAGAGATCCCAAGATCAAGATGTTAGCAGGTTTGGGTGTCTTCTGAGCCCTCTCTCCTTGGCTTGCAGATGATTACCTTCATTCTAGGTGTGCTTTCCTCTTGCATGCATGTGCTTGGTGTCAGTTTCTCTTCTTACCAGGTCATCATTCCCATTAGGTTACAGCCCCACCCAACCTAATTTCTACTTAATCAACTCATTAAAGACCCACCTTTAAATACAATTGCATTCTTAATTACTGTGGCTGGGACCTGTCATGTGGATTTGGGGTAGAGGCGTTATTCAGCCAAACTTCCAAACTAGTCTTTCTCTTTCAACCCAGCTCTCCTGTCTGCATACACAGCAGCCAGAATACCAAAAATACAAATCTGATCATTTGTATCATCCTGAACACGCTAAAGCACTCCAGAGCACTATCTTGCTCTAAAGATATAGACCAGAATCCTCTTAAGTGGTTTTCAGTACTCTTCATGATATGTTCCTGCTTACCCACTGTGTTGTCTCCTGGCCACATCCCTTTTACAACTTAGGCCATAGTACTTCTCAACCTCTGTGTGTGTGTGTGTGTGTGTGTGTGTGTTTTTGCACATGCTTTTTACCACTCTCCATTCCCAGCAGACTCCCATAATTAAAATCATTCATGAACTCTGGATTCTGTCATAGTACAGAGGCACCATATGCACAAAAGATTGTAAACAAGCCTTACAACAAGTCTTGAGAATCTCAGCAGACATCCTGGGCTAAATTTAGGAAACATGTAAGTGGAAACCCTGATGGAGGTTTTCTATTCGCAGAAAATAAGTTCTTATAAACTACATATTTTAATAAATGTAAAGTAAAATTAAGAAGCTAAAGACATAGAGCTTCTAAAAATCATAATTCAAAGGGATAAATATAATTGATGCCAGTAGAATGTTAATGCAATCATTCCCATTACACCCCTACCTGTTAAGTTCATCCAGACACAAGCGCAGTGTTTCATAAGTTGTTAGAGCAATTTCGCATTTCCTCTGCTTTATACGAAGCAGTTCATTGTCTTTTTTGTTACCGTGTAAAACAGTGACTCTGAAATATCCCCAGGTATCCAATTCATCCTTCCAGTTGTAGAGGACAGAAAGAGGAGCAACTATTAAGAACATCTAAAAGGAGAGGAAAAATACATTGGGTGTTTTTTAAAAATGAAAAATAATGCCAAAAAAGTGAAGTCCAAAATATCTACAATCCTTTGATTTAATTTCGACACTAGCGAATAATAAATACAACTGAGTGATTGGCTGTATTTGGCCATAGAAGACCCTTAAAGGCTAACTATTTTGTGGCTTAAATAGATCTTTTTTTTTTTTTAGGATATATTTTTCTTATCTTTATTTTACTTATTTATTTATTTTTATGAGGTGCTGAGTATCGAACCCAGGGCCTCGCACGTGCTAGACGAGCACTCTACCACTAAGCTACAACTTCACTCCTTAAATAGGTCTTATTAGAACAAAATAGGTGCCCAATCTTGTCCAAAGGAACAGCTGGGTTTTTTTTTCCGACTCATAAAAGGCACTGAAAGATGAGAGAAACAGCTCCCCAAAGAGTGAATCAGGAAGCCAGTAATAACTTCAAGAGCCAAGAGAATACTGTGAGTATACAAGATAGGCCAGTCACCTCTCTTGAAATATGTGGTCTTCTAGAGCTCTCTTCCCTCTTCAATTTCTAAGCCCATTTCATCTATCCCTCCCTCTCAGAAACTCTTAGTTGAGGACACGGAAAATTCACTGGGAAAACTGAAGCAATTAGAAGGAAACCTCCACCTCTCATACCATGTTGTAAGTAGCCTAACTACATACTTCCATATGTCCTGCCTTCCCACCTGTGCCCATGCATGAGCTGTTCACATCTTCAAGACAACCTTTGAACTTAACCCTGTGGCTCCCATCCATCTTTTCTTGTAACCTACAGTTAATGTTGCAGAAATGGCCTAAAGAACTAACTTTTTATTTTCAGTAGACCACATCTATGGGTAAACATAATATTTCCCAGAATTCAAGAAACAAGCTCTACAAAGAAACAAAACAAAATCCTTTCTCAACCCTATATCTCTCTCTAGCTACTGCTCCATTACTTTACTCTATAGCAATGATTTTTCAAGATGCTTATTATCTCAACTGTCCTCCTGCTCCTTCTTGAAGTCATGCAAATAGGACATCCTAACCCTCTGCTATACTCTAGAAATGGAATGTCCCCCAAGGGCCCATGTGTTAAGGAATTTGTCCCCAGCACATGGAGCTATTAGGGGGTGGAGCCTACTGAGAGGACCTTAGGCCATTGGGGATGTAATATTGGAGAAGATATTGGGACTCTGCCCCCAATTCCTTTCTTTCTCTTTCATTTCCCAACCATGATGACATAAGTAGCTTCCTCTGGTATGCTCTCCAACGGCTTATCATAGGCTCATAATTTATGAACCAAATGACCATGGACTGAAATCTCCAAAACTGTGAGTCAGATTAAAGCTTTTCTTCTTATACAACATTTATCTCAATTATTCTGTCACAGTGACAGAAAGCTAACTAGCACAACCTTCAGCAAAAACAGTCCTTTTTAAGATTACTAACATATTTATTTTTCACATGAATGCTTTAGCATTCTACTGATATTTCCTGTACTTACTCTGAATACTGCTGTCTTCAGAAAATTTTAAGATTTAACTTTTAATAGTCTCACTATTACCAATATTCCTAACCTGCTATATTTACCAGAATTATCAGTTTCTTTCCTAAAGAAACTTTACTTGATAGATGATCCGATTAAACATACTGAAAATAAAATAATAACATACTGCCCTCTCTTCTGTGCAACATTTCATCTAAGTCATTAATCACCTGTAAGAAGTCAAATCTGTGACTATGTTTTGGAAAGAGAAGACGACTAACCTCCTGAATGTGAGAGTTCCTTTCCCCATCCCATCATGAAACATATGAGCACTTTCTTGTCATAGTCGGTTCATTTAAAATACTTTTACCCTTTGGAGTTTATCCTATGATTCCATTTTTCTCCTACTTTCAAATATAAACTCAGGGTTCCAAGTACTAAATCCACTTGTAGATCTTCTTCTAATTTTGGATACTACAATATGAAAATATTAGGTCCAAATTCCACCTGAGCCCTTGTAAGTAAGTTTTCTACAATTCCAGTAGTACCTATAATACAATTGCAGTACCAATAATTTATCCAACAGTTAAAACTGTACAATTTGCCAAGATAAATGCATAAGGATGTTCATAGTGGCTTTGTTTGCAACATAATCTTCTTGCTAGTAACAGGGACGAAAGAAATTCTTTTTAGTAAATAAAATAATTAAAATATTTATGTTCATTTACTAATATTACTGCTTATGCTGGTTTTGTAAATGCCAAAAATAACCTCCTCCTCTGTATTATGAATTTCACTTAGAATCTCTAAAGTTTTATCATACAAGATAGTAATACTTTAAAATAAATTTACTATGATTCATCTTCATACAGACTGAACTACAATCTAAACTTAGCCTAAATCTAAAGAATCCTTCCAAGATCAGTATTTGAAATGCATAGTTCGTGTCTTTCCCTTTAGGAATTTATTCTTGGCACATCTATTTCATGCATTTTTGATGATTTATTCAGTTGAAAAGTTTATAAATGTATGTGAGATGTATCATATTCTGCACACATTCTTCAAATCTACCACTCCTTAATTTGTAACATTCAATTCATTAAAAAGGAAAAGGGGTTCAAAGAGTTCTGATATTAATTTTTCAGGATTCTGTTGTAATTCTGGCATTAGCATAATAAGTGTAAAGAAACTTATTTGTTCTGTAGCTAACTTTCAAAAATGCACATTGCTTTAAATGGACCAATACAGACGGATGTTTCCAGAATTTCATCAGAGTCATAACTTTGGATTTATTTCTGGGAAATACTATATGATGTCAATGATGAGCTCATTAAAAACTTTAAATTCCAGTTCAAATGATTAACTGAACACATGTATGTGCTGACACCAATAAAACAAAAGAACAAATATAAAAATAGATCTCTAATAGTGATAGAGTGCCTAGCGGGGCACTACCAGCAAATCTGAACAGTACAGGAGCAGATAAGAACTGGCATAAACTGAGGAGTCCATCCTGCATCTATGAAAGAGCAGGAAAAGGCACTTTTCCTAAAAGGAATCTGAAACAAGAAGTAAAACAAACCCACACAGAGCTGCTGAGGCTCAGGGTCAAGAAAAGAAACTGCTGAGTGACTCTAAGAAGGCACAGATTGTCAATCATCTGCCAAAGAAGCTGATGTTAGAATCAGTCCCCAGCTTCCCCTACATAAAATACTGGGTACATTTTTCTAAAGTGGAACTTATTTGGAAGAATTCTACAGTGAGTGTTAGGAACAAGGAAAATGTTTGAATTTCAAAGATAAAGTCCTAAACACTCCCAACACCCTCAAAAATTTTCCTTTTCAAGGAAAAACAAGTCAGTTCAGCACTGAACCTTCATATGCAATATGGATTAACAGAACATAATAAAACTATCTTGGTAAACTCACAAGATAAAACTTTAAACTTAGATTTCTACATGCAAATAAACTGCCAATTAAGTGTGAGAGCAATACACAAACAAGAATTATGAAACAAGAATTGACAATGTTGAACAAGCAAAAACCATTACAAACACAAAAAGAAATGAACAAACTCAAAGTCACAGCAGGAAAATTTATTATATTTCTGTTAGGATTCAATCCTCAAATAAATAAAAAGAAAATCAAAACAGCATCAAGAATTTTAATGCAATTAACAAAGTGATTAAATACAAATACTGTATGACCATAATAACAAAGAATGTAAGACATAAGTAGACATTTGAAAACAAAGACTACACAAAGTACAACATCAGAGCATTAAAAACACTTTACTATGGGTTCGAGGGTCGATGTCTCGTGCATGGGTGTGTCTTGCTACAGCCCCATGGGTGAAGCTATGCTCACCTGTTCCTTTGTAATATAACCCCTTGCCCTGTTTAGGATACAATCTTCCATGGAAGTGCCTTGTGTGTGTCCCCTTCTCTTACAGTGCCCTTGGGTGTGGCCTATCCAGGTGTCAGTCAACCTGCTGACAGTGGACATCAGGAAGATAGACTCAGCCCCCTGAAACCTGACCCCTTGCCTCATTTGAATAGTTTCTCCTCAATAAAAGGGGTCAGTGCGTGCTCTCACTCTCTTTCTTTCTGTGGACCCTTAAGGTCAGAGGAGCTGTCACAGCGAATCCAAAGAAAAAGGTATTTGTGTCTCTTGTGTGGTTATTTTGCGCAGCCCAGTTAGCCCAGTTCAAATGGAGTGACCCCTGAGCCTTTTAGTCGCTAACAGAAACCTGGCACTTTACCATGAATTTAACCACAGAGAAAACACTGAGGCTATATTATTCATCTGGAATAATATTATTCACCTGGAAATTTAAAAACTTCTCTTTAAAATAGTAGTTGGGTAAAAGAGAAGAAAAATAAATTGTACATAATTTAGAAAAGAATAATGAAAAGATCACATCAATATCTATGGAATGCAGCTGAAGCAGTTCTCAAAGGAACATTTTAAGCCAGGCATGGTGGTGCACGCCTGTAGTCCTAGCAGCACAAGAGGCTGAGGCAGGAGGATCTCGAGTTCAAAGACAGTTTTAGCAAAAGCAAGGTGCTAAGCAACTTGGTGAGAACCTGTCTCTAAATAAAATACAAAAAAAGGCTGGGGATGTGGCTCAGTTTTTGAGTGGCCCTTAGTTCAAACCCCACTATCTGCACTGTCCCCCGCCAAAAAAAGGAACATTTTAGTTTTAACAAAATTTTTTAGAATATAAAAAGGCTGAACATAATCAATAAATAAGTCAACTAAAGAAGACAGAATAATAGCAATATATATTATAGCAAGGAATTTACACACACACACAAATTCATAGAGAAGAAAGAAAAAGAGGCATTAATGACAACTGAGATAGCTATCAGTATATTTTATCATACCATCAAATAAGTACTTTTCTTTTCTCTCCTCCCATTCTTGTTCTAAAATATTTTAAATATATTTAATTATATTTAAATTTTAAAATATTACTTTACACTTCCCTTTTTTCTCCCCCCCACATCTGTTAACTATCACAAGTAGCACACAAAAGATACATAAACCCTGCACTAAATTTAGAACAAAAGAACTAAATCCAGGGCTAAAAGCAATACTTGAATCTCCAATACTCAGATACATTATGAATCACCATGCTTTTTAGGATCCAATCAAATCTGACAGGATGCATTAATGCTATTAAAAATTGTAAGAGAATTTAATGATAATAACTTAAGTCAATACTTCTCAAAATTCTGCCTACAAACAGCCCTTACAATAGATAAAAGTAAACTTGGACTTCTCGGTAATCTTGTACATAAGATTTGTATGAAACAGGCTATTTTAAAACTTGTGGCAAGTAGTTCATTATCATAATAAAATAATGATCTCATAAAATCACTTCATCCTTGTTCTCATCCAGTTTCCTGGATGCTGAGGATAATATAAAAGACACAGAAGTATAATATACTTTTTGTGCATTGCACTGCTTTATTAGAAATCGTATTTTTTGTAATAACTGTGTATATTTATAAATATATATTTATGAAGTAGAAAGCTGAAGTAAGAATATGAATAGCAGTCACAGTCACATGGACAGAGACAAGCATATATTTAGTCTTTCAAGTTTCAGCTTCCTTGAATAGGGAGAATTTGTTTCATAGTTTTGAGACATAATCAGTCCCCTAAGCAACTTTAAATATCAATGACATACTTTCATTACCAATATCCATAACTGTCTCCTTTTCATTCTTGCATTAAAAAAAACCAACATAATGAAGACTTCAATTAACTTTATATATGCATTCATGGAAGCTTAACAAATAAATCTGAGCAAATCATGTAAATATAACCAAGTAATAGATTTAAATCTCAAAATAAATTCAAGCTGAAATTATATTCTGCTATTCTGAGAGACAATCAAATTTAACTAGAGGATGAAACTGGTAATCCTTCAAAAATTAGGTCTATGAAATAAATATTTTAATGTTTTTAAATTCTTAGTTTTAGAATTTATAGTATGTTGTGTGATGTTTAAATGTTCCTCTGTGCCTCTGCAATTCCAGCTTCATGAGTTGAATATTTCTATATACTTTACCTTTTTTGCTATAGAAGAAAGCAGTTCCTTCTTCATACTTCTTAGTAAAAATTCTGGCATGTTATTTTCAATATCCTCACGTGTTCCCTTTTTATGCAACACTGCAGCCAGAAATGAAATAACCTGGAATGAAGGAAATATTTTTTTTTTTTTTAGTCACTGTGGATAATGTATTGTGATACAAAATATCACTGATTACATGACTATCCAATTAATGACAAAGTACATAAAAATAGATTTGTTGAAGGGAAATATAAAATGAAAAACTAGTATTGATTTTCCTCACTTGTATTAATAAACAAGTACATTATAATAGGAAAAAGCATATTGCTATATCTTCCATGCTAGGTAGTACCCACTCAGTGAATATTTTCGTAATTCCATCAGGAAGAACATTACTTTCTTATTTGGTTCTATCCATGAAACTATCTCTTCCTATCCTCTATTAGAATAAACTGTATACATTCTTCTTTCCTTGTAGAAAAATAATTCCAAAACAAGAGTAATATTTGGTTCATAAATCTGTACACTTTTGTTCATCTAATAAATAAAAGTAGAATGACAGAATGTTATTTTAAGATAATCTAATATAATTCATCAATACAAGCACCACTTTGAACTATAGCTACTACCCAAAAATCAAGTGAGAAAGACAGAAAGATAGAAAAAAGAACACATCATTTCACATACAAGCAGCAAGAAATACTGAATCAATAAGACATTGGCTGGAATTTTAGCTCTGGATATTTGACAGCTATGTGAACATGGACAAGGTAATTAATCTCTCTAAATATTATCTATAAAAATGGCAAAATAATATTGGCATGATTGTTTTAAAGACTAGAGGGAAGGTGTATGAGGGGTCTATATGAGGGAAAGAACTGATCATTACTTAAAAATAAATTATAGAAATATTAAAATTAAAAAACAAACTGAGAGAATCAGAAAAACCATAGAAAAAGATATTTTAAACATGTAAATACCAATAATCTGAATCACAAATGACAGAAGAATGAATGGCACATGAGAAATATCTGAAGAAATCAAAGTTGAAAATTATCCAAAAAATAAAAAGCATAGATGCAATATCTAATAAGAACACCAAACCAAAGGGGAGCTGGGGACAATCAAAACAAAAATAAAAAACAAACTTACAGGGGTTGGGGTTGTGGCTCAGTGGTGGAGCACCTGCCTGGCTTGTGTGAGGCACTGGGTTCAATCCTCAGCACCACAAAAAGATAAATAAATAAAATTAAGGTATTGTGTCCATCTACAATTAAAATTTATTTTTTTAAAAGCCTTACAAATATCCACAAGTAGGTGCTACACAGAAAAAAATAAATATTAAAAACGGAAGGAAAAAACAACTACCTATAAAGCTGCTAATAGGTAGATAAACAGCTGAACCTGCACTAAAAACAATGGAAGACCTACAACACAGAATATTCTCCAACTTCCATAGAAAATAAAAGCAACCTACATTTTTATACCCTGTAAAAATATTCAAGAATGAAGAGTAAAGATAATTTTATATAACAAAAAACTGGGTCAATTTATCACTAAAAGAGCCACACTAAAGAAAATAACTACAGGCCCCAGTCCACCCCTCCACCCGCGGGGCAGACACCCGCCAGAGCCTAGCCTCTGGCACAGGGCCGCCTCTTCCGACCAGAAGACTACCACCACGGGAGCCCAGGCCCAGCTCAGAGCCTTTCACACTGACTTGCGTAGGACCCAGGTCCGGGGTAGGTCTGAGTTCACCCCCCACACACACACATACCTGAGAGCCTAAGCCTAACCTACTTCCATCTTGGGACACTACCGTCATCACCATAGCCTTCCCCAGGCAGTAACCCTAACATTTTGATAGCAGACAGGGCCTAGAAGCAGCTGCATCTCAGAGCAGGCATCCCAAAGGGAGTGTGAGGCCCACCCTTTCAGTCCCATCTCTGCTTCCCTCTTGGGGCACCTTAACTGTTATCTTGAGTTACCTCAGCTATTGCCACCACCACCTTTAGATGCAGTAGCATACACTGAGGGACACCAGCAGGGTCTAGAATCCCCACATCAAGGTGAGGTATACAAGAATATAGGGAAGAAACTATAATATCTCAGATCCACTCCGCAAGAAAGGAAGACACATAGACAACATGAAAAACCAAGGGAAGAAAGTGCCCCCAAACAAACCAGGGCACTATAATAACAGAAACCATGGACAGCAAAGTTGACCAAATGTCAGAGAAGGAGTTCAGAAGGTTCATAACTAAAATGACTGTGAATTAAAGAATGACCTAAATGAGCAAATACAGGCAAAAATTGACCACTCCAACAATGAGATAAGAGAGCAAATACAGGTAGCAAAAGATTACTTCAACAGAGAGATACAGACTCTGAAAAAAAAAAAAAAAACAAGTCAGAAATCCTTAAAATGAAGGATACAATTACCAAATTAAAAACTCAATAGAAAGCATAACCAACAAACTAGATCACTTGGAAGAAAGAACATCAGATAATGAAGACAAAGTATACAATCTGGAAAATAAAGTTGATCACACAGTGAAGAAAGTTAGAAACCATGAAGAGAACATCCAAGAATTACGGGACAGCATCAAAAGACCAAATGTAAGAATTATTGGGATAGAGGAAGGCACAGAGTTTCAAACCAAAGGAATGCACAATCTCTTTAGTGAGATAATATCAGAAAACTTCCCAAGCATGAAGAACGAATTGTAAAACGAAATACAAGAGGCTTATAGGACACCAAATGTACAAAATTACAACAGATCTACACCAAGGCACATTATAATGAAAATGTCTAGCATACAGAATAAGGATAGACTCTTAAAGCCACAAGAGAGAGGAACCAGATCACATATAGGGGGAGACCAATTTGTATCTCAGCAGATTTTTCAACCCAGACCCTGAAAGCCAGAAGATCTTGGAACAGCATATACCAAGCTCTGGAAGAAAATGGATGCCAACCCCAAGAATCTTATATCCAGCAAAACTAAATTTTAGATTTGATGATGAAATAAAAACCTTCCATGATAAACAAAAGTTAAAAGAATTTACAACTAGAAAGCCTGCACTACAGAACATCCTCAGTAAAATATTCCAAGAAGAGGAAATAAAAAACAATGATGAAAATCAGCAGAGGGAAGGATTACACTAAAGGAAAATTTAATCAGAGGAGAAACCAAATCACATTAAATACCAAAATTAAACAAAAATAGCTGGGAATACAAATCATGTCTTAGTAATAACCCTGAATGTTAATGGCCTAAACTCACCAATCAAAAGACACAAACTAGAAGATTGGATCAAAAAATTAAAAAAAAAAAAAAAAGAAAAGATCCAATATTATGCTGCCTCCAAGAGACTCCTCTCATAGGAAAAGACATCCACAGACTAAAGGTGAAGGGTTGGGAAAAATCATACTACTTACATGGACTGCGGAAGCAAGCAGGGCTTTCCATTCTCATATCAAATAAAATAGACTTCAAACTAAAGTCAATCAAAAAGGACAAAGAAGGACACTACATACTGATCAAGGGAACCATACACCAACACCAACAAGACTTAACAATTATAAAATCTATATGCTCCAAACAATGAAGCATCTTACATTCATCAAACAAACTCTTCTCAAGTTCAAGAGTCAAATAAACAACAACACAATAATTTTGAGTGACTTTAGCACACCTCTCTCAACACTAGATAGATCTTCCAAACAAAAGCTTAATAAAAAAACAATAGAACTCAATAATATAATCAATAACTTAGACTTAACTGACATATATAAAATATTTCATCCTTCAACGAGAAAATACACTTTCTTCTCAGCAACACATGGATCCTTCTGTAAAGTAGACCATATACTATGCCAAAAAGCAACTCTAAGTAAATATAAAAAAGTAGAGATACTACCCTGCATTCTATCAGATCATAATGGAATGAAATTAGAAATCAATGATAAAATAAGAAATAAAAGCCACTCCAACACCTGGAGACTAAATAATATGTTAGTGAATGAACAATGGGTTGCAGAAGACATCAAGGAGGAGATTAAAAATTTTTTAGAGGGGAATGAAAACACAGATACAATGTATTGAAATCTCTGGGACACTATTAAAGCAGTTCTAAGAGGAAAGTTCATTGCATGGAGTTCATTCCTTAAAAGAAGAAAAAGTCAACAAATAAATGACTTAACATTACATCTCAAAGCCCTAGAAAAAGAAGAACAAATCAACACCAAAAGCAGAAGACAGGAAATAATTAAAATCAGAGCTGAAATCAATGAAATTGAAACAAAAGAAACAATCGAAAAATTGACAGAAAGTTGGTTCTTTGAAAAAATTTTTAAAAAATTGACAGACCCTTAGCCATGCTAACGAAGAGAAGGAGAGAGAAAACTCAAATTACTAACATACATGATGAAAAAGGAAATATCACAACAGACAGTACAGAAATACAGAAGATAATTAGAAATTATTTTGAAAACCTGTAATCCAATAAAATAGAAAATATTGAAGGCACTGAAAAATTTTTAGAGTCATATAATTTGCCCAAATTGAATCAGGATGATATACACAATTTAAACAGATCAATTTCAAGTGACAAAATATAAGTCTACCAACCAAGAAAAGCCCAGGACCAGATGGATACACAATCAAGTTCCTCAAAACTTCTAAAGAAGAACTAATACCAATACTCTTCAATTTATTTCAGGAAATAGAAAAAAAGGGAGCACTTCCAAATTCATTCTATGAGGCCAATATCACCCTGATTCCAAAACCAGGCAAAGACACATCAAAAAAAGAAAACTTTAGACCAATATCTCTAATGAACATGGATGCAAAAATTCTCAATAAAATTCTGACAAATCGAATACAAAATCATATCAAAAAGATCATGTACCACGATCATATGGGATTCATCCCAGGGATGCAAGGTTGGTTCAACGTACAGAAATCAATAAATGTAATTCACCACATCAATAGACTTAAAGATAAGGATCATATGATCATCTCAGTAGATGCAGACAAAGCATTTGACAAAACAAAGCACCGTTTTATGTTCAAAACACTAGAAAAATTAGGGATAACAGGAACATATCTCAACAT